ATCGTTCTTATGCGGGTTAATACAATACACAAGTATGTCCAAACAAATTCCGTTCGGACACTTTCATTCGGACAAAATATGTTCCCCTTAAGTCCAATACAAATGCCAAGTATGTCCGACTGAAATTGTCCGAACGTGTCCGCAAAGTGATCATATTCACCCATACTTTCACGCGCGCAGATGCCATGGCTATGCGCATCACAGGCAGTCCAAAAATGAAACGATTGTAACAGGTTATCCGGACCATGTGTTGGAACTGTCCCACCAAATATTCTTGAACTACATAACCTTGTAAACTTATATATTGCCTGACCATAATGCATACCCTAGCCGCAAAATTTGTATGCATCAAGGTATACACAGTTCAAGGTTAAAATAGAGATCATAAATTGGTCCTCAAAAATAGAGTAAACTTGCTTGGAAAGTCGGCTTTTTGTATTAAAAGTACATCTTCAAATGTAATAGTTTGATTATGACGTGAAAGCTCTGTGTTCGGTTGTTAAGAATCACTTCACAAAATGTGAAAAGTCGTCCTGTGAGCCGAGATATACGCATTTTACGGTGACTACTCAGAAAAAGTGATCATAAATTGGTCATTTACGTTATACTAATCGTTTTATAGTATACTTACTCCGGAGTAGTGTGTACAAGATTAAATAGGATCAAATAGATTATTGAAACTTGTTTGGCGAAACGACTCAAAGTCAGTCCAAATCTGGGTGAAATGCAAAATATAGGGCTACAGTATTCCTTGAAGCGACCATCGTAGCTCGAGTTTTGGATGCTGACTTCTCAAGAACAGTACATCTGCATGGGAGGTCGTATGAACCCCTAATAATAGTATGAACTATTTATTACTTGAAGTATATTGTATAATTCTATAAATAAAATATATATCAATTAAATTTTAATAGTTTTAAATTTAAATCCTATTTTTTCCTGTATTTATAGATAATATTCAAGTTTTTACTTCATACTATTAACAATACAAACTTTAATCGTCGCCTTGAAGCTGCCGTAGGCAGCTAAGCTTTGTCGTGGTTACGTTACAGTTGCCAAACGTGTTGATTTTTCGTACTACAGTAGTATTAATACACTTTGACTTCAAAACGAGACGATATCTCATTGGTGGAATGTGATCGTCTGTTCTAATTGGCTCCTTCAGTGCATTGAAAATGCAAACTGCAGTTGGAACAATCAGCCATGTCGAGCCCAACTGGAGGAACGGGCCGAGCGCGAGCCAACGACGACGACTTCGTTCCTGGTAGGACCTTCCCACGCACAAGCCCATGAATGATCTCTATTACAAGTAGGACCTCACGACCCCCAGCCTACTACTGCCCCTGACGCCCCCTCTAACCCCACCAAAAAGCCACCCCCAGTACGCCTTCTACCGCTTCTACCATCTCCCCGAGTCTGTCCGCTAGGGCCCCCCGCTGTCCACGTTACCGCTGGTTCTGCCCCCGTCGTTCCCTTCGCGCACGACAGTCCTTGTCCAATTGGACGACTCCACCATGGACTTGAGCGGTTGGTATTTTACTCTTGAAATATATTCGTTTGTCAAGGTTATGACTGTTTAGGGGACGTTGGTGCCATCGGTCGATTCCACGTCCACGACACTATGTCGCAAGTGTTGCTCGATCTCAAAGGTCCAACAATATATATATATCGACGTGTCTATATAGATATATTCTAGGGGAGCAATACGTGGGCCATGTGATCCCTTGCAATTCGTACCTTGTGGTGAGCATGGGGGCCACCGAAGCCAAAGTCGACTGCCTCGTCAACGACGTGTGCCACGCCACCAAGCACCGCAATGTGCTCAACTTGATGAAGGGCGTGGTCACGGCAGGTATTAATTAGTACCTACATACTACGTTGCCTGCTAGTAATACTAGTCATATTAGGAACATGGAAAGAGGAAGATGCCCCGGCGCCGCGGCCTCGGTCGTCGTCCAAGAAAACCAAGCGAGTAAGTAAACGGAGTCACAAGTTTTCTTTAGGAAAATTATACTGGTATATTTTAATATATAGATTTCCGGAAGAAAACGTATTATTTTTGAAAAATTTAAACTGGGTGAATGCTAATGGAGACGTGGTGGTTGGTATATGTAGGTAGTGCGCCAAAAGATGGCAGTAGCTGCCACGATCCCAGCCAAAAAATGATGAGAGTATTGTGTGTCAACTATGTAAAGCCTCAGGCAAATTCGTGGATGCGTAGTTACTGATAAAAAGAAGCAGATATATTGTGCTTTCTCGTTGGAATTTAAATCGATTTGATCGGCTACTTCAGTGGAGCTCAAAATTATTAACCAATCAAAACCTTCTCAATGAAATTCACCCAATCAGATCGATTGTGGATCGGTGCGATTCAATGCACCCCCTCCCCATATTTGTATCAAATCGATAATAATACTTACTGTTCGTGTCGATTTGAGTGTCGTATCACGCCCGTGATTCGGTTTGTGAACGATTCTGATTGGCTCAATTTACGAAAGCTCAGTGTGATTGGCTAAAGACTTTGACAGCCCTATACTATCGAGCGTCCATTTTGCGCGCCATTCTTCAACCAACATTGGACGAGCCATGCCCGCAGACGACAGTCCAGCCTGGAACACGCAATTATCGCAGACGTCCCAACCGACACGCTCGAAAAACGACCACGGATACTTTGCGCGAGCAGCACCCGGTTGCATCGTACTTGGTGATCCAGTTCGAAATGGTTTGCTCTTTCCGTACACAGCAGTAGGAAGAAGTAGCCGTGCAGACAGTGCATGGCTGTGTTCGGAATTGCATGCTGTGAGATTGCCGGCTCGATGGTGCTCATCGTCGTCTTGCCGCTTGGTGTGCGATCTCCTTTGATCTGGAAATGTCTTCTCTGTCGTCTGACCCAATCAAATCGTGGCAATTTTGAAAGCGCCAATCGAATCGATTTACGAATGACGCGTGGTTTTTCAAGAATTCATGCCAAAATAGCTCTCGTCCTAGTACTACTACATACATCAGTATATGTATAGTACGTTAACACTTCGACCATCTTGCCCACTATTAATAGTAACAAGACTCGTGGGTAATCTCGTACCCAGAGGTAGGGAAAAATAAAATATTCTCGACAAGGGTTATTTATTTTTTACATCCAATCATTTATTCTGAAGGGACTAACTAGGTCAAAGAAAAAGGTATTCGCTGGACGCCAAGGACAGAAATAGGTTTGATATATGTGCCTCAAGAAATAAATACATTGATTCTATCTGCGTAGGCTGGATACTAATAGTATTCGTCGATAGTTATTGTTGAGTTCTCCTCTGTCAATAAATAAATCTTTCAAACTGGCTGATAAACTATTTATTATTCTGTTTCAAGTAAGAAGAAATAATTTCTCCTTGTATGGCACAAAAGGTATACAAATATATATCAATTTTTTGACAGAAACATCCTATAGTACTAGGTACGTAGTAACAGTAATTATACACGATTTACGAAACAAACACGAAACAAAATGTATGGAGTCACGAAATTTTTTGTTTCGTAAACCAGTTATATCCAATGCACGCAATCTTGAAGTTTGTATGATATTCTTTGTATCCAAGACGATGGGTCGCCGTGCACATACCATGAGCGTTACAGCTGACGATGTCATCGCACTACGAGTAGTAGAGGACACCAGGTCCCAATACGACTCTATCATAACACGGTTCACACGCTGGCTTGAACGCGAGCACCCACTACACGTCGCAGCCGGAAAGCTCATACTCCCAGTGTCCCTCGAGCTATGCAAGCTGATGTTCTCGTATGCGTCGGTTAAGCGCACGACAGCGGGTCGTGAGGTCATACCAAGGAAGTTTAACTCAGTTTCGACAATCAATCGCGCGAAGAGTGCAATCATATTCCTTCATCGTGAAGAAGGCGTCGACATGACTGATGATATGGCTGCCATGATGAAAGATATTAATAGTATTGAAATTAGTATGTGTTACATGGTGAAGTATTGTAGACTATGTGTCTGGATACAAAAGAAAATTTGCAAAGCTTAAGGATAGCGGTGAAGTCCCGATGACAGAAGGAAAAGCTCCACTTTCTTTTGAAGGTATATATTGTGATTTCTTATTACTATAATACTTGAAATACATCAATAATATGAAGGATACCGCTACCTTGCTCAACATGCTATATCCTCAACTACGGACTTTTCCCTCGTTGCTACCGTGCACCCATTCTTGGTGCTGTGTAGGAATCTCATGGCCTGGGCAGTGTCAACATCTTCAATTCGATATGAGCATATCGCGTGGAGAGGTAGATTAGCATATTAAGATATATTTTATGATTGGATTATTCTATGTGGCCAGGCGATGCTTTGCAGATTCGATACGGGCTCATGAAGAACGACCAAGAAGGAAGGATGTCATTTCCACGGCATATTTATGCTAATCCTTTGCGTCCAGAAATTTGTCCGATCTTAAGGTACTACTTGGTTTTACAGTTAATACAGTAATTCCAGTGAAAAATATATTTTGATGTAGCCTTGCGATATTGCTCTTCACGCGAGGACCACAACTTCCTGGGTCACCAACACTACTGTTTGGGTACAACGCCAAAGAACGCTTTTCGGCATGGTTACACAACACGTGTGCATTGCACGAGGACGACATTGTGGCCATGGGCTTATCCATCTCTGACGTCGGCACGCATTCCTTCCGTAAAGGTGTAGCAAGCACGTTATCGAACACTCCAGGTGGTCCACAAGCCGTCTCCGTCTGGTTACGCGCTGGATGGAGCTTCGGGAGTGTGCAAGGTCGTTACATATTTGAAGGCTTGAAGGCTCCGGCGGCGACCAATTTGTCGGCCGCGCTGCTACCGGTAAAACTTTGTTGTAATAACTTCAATGAAATGCGTTCTACTATTTGACCTAAAAATTATCTCCATTTTCTAACATTAATAATTAATTTCTAGGGTTGGATGTAAATGGCGTTGAATTTGGGTCCCTGCCGCCGCACTTCGGCACCACGGTGGTGCTATCCAGCACACAATGGGAGTCCATTTTACCTGGCTATGCATCACACTACTCGCAATCATTCCGATCGGCTACTCCATTTCTTTTGGCGTCGCTGGCATTCCATCAAAAGTGGTTGAAATCAACGTTTAGTCCAATGCACCCCTTGTTCATGTCAGCTGTGTGGTCGTCGGGCTTGCTGCCATTACTTGTGACGGAGTTACACCATGGTAATCTTCACTGTCCTGCTAGTGGCATGGTCGCGTCTGGCATCCCCCCCCATGTTCCAATGTATCAACAACTGCACGATATTGTTTCCACCCTTGGCGCGGTTCGAACTAACCTGGTTAGTTCGAACCACAGCGTCGTTAACTATTCCAACCCCGACGACGACGTCAGAGAATAACCCTCTCGATGTTCCGACCCCAACGACGATGTTACTACATGACCCTCGCGCTACCGTGACCCCGATGACGACGTCAGTGCTTGAGTCCCTAGTTGATCCCATTATACCTACGAGCAATCGTCGGCCTATCCAAAGTCTGAATTGTCCATCTGGAAAAGTGTACGACATGTGAAACAATTTTTGGAGCGGTAATTTTGAGACTAACACTCCACCGCTACGAACATTACGCTCGAGTGACTTTGCCACCAAAAGAGACCGAACCAACCACTCCAAAGTGAAAAAAGTCATGTCTTCAATTATGATATTTTCGAACTTATCTGAAAACGCAATTTCCGCCATGAGCCTGCCTGACCGGAACAAGCTGTTCGAAGAATCTTACGGCTCCTTGTGCGAACAGCTCTTTGACGGTCCAACGCTCCTGAGCCGCCGTAGAGCAACAGAATTGAGCTACCACACGATATACGATGCCATAAGAAAACAATAAATGCATCTTTACACTCAAAATGGGCCACAACGACATGATATCCCCAACTTACCTTTGTTCGTGAATGGTTGATAGACGATAGTTGAGCACTGATGCCTACGTATTACATGTACGTGATGGGTTTGAAGTAGCAATAGATGAATTGCAAATGTACCTGCGATCGCAGCAACTGCGACGAGACTTGCCCGAGTTGGTGCCGACGTTGTGCTACCAAGCTATCCTAGATTGGCACATATGGTCATGTCCAGCAGTGAGTTGAATACGTACACTGCATGCTGGCGTATGATGGATGTGGCCTTCGTCATGGTGATTCACCTGGCCAGCGAGGCAGGTATTCGAACGGAGACTCTGGCACTTAGGTGAATTTGCGTTCTGTGGAAATTCTACAAATCGTTTAGTACTACTACTAGTAGGTGTGTTTTGTTGGTTGTTTCGTGAATACCCAAATAAAAGGTAAGGTAATCCATCAATATCGCGAACGCCATCAATATCGCGAACGCTTGTCATTATATCCAATCCAATGGCTTCATTCTGTAATGAGGGGTTTTCATTTGATATGATTATATTCAGCCAAAGGATCAGGATACCACCTTGAAGTTCAAAATTATGTTCATTTTTATGTTGTCCAATACAAATTGCAACTTATATCTTATTATAATGCCTA